ACAAGTATTTTCAAATCTAGTTACTATTCAATTTATATTAGATACATAAGGCAAACAAAAAAAATACGGACAACATGAAAAGGAAAAGTCTGAACACAATTATAGACTAAATAATCAACTGCTTACTTCTATTCTGAAACAAAGTAAAAAATTTAAAGATCTTAATGAGGGCCAGAATTGTATAACAGAAAAACACTGAACTAAGACTTACACTACCTTGTTTGGGTCCCAGCCCAGTCACTGACTTGACATGAGACTTTGGATTTGATTTTTTCCATAAGTAAAGAAGAAACTGGACTATATGATCTCCAAGTCAGTCTTCTGGGGATTCCAATATTAGAGGTTTTATGTAATAGGCAAATGCCAATTTCTGAACAGGAAATAAGAATTTGGTAGAATTTAGGACATGGTAAGTAAGTTCAAAACCAGAAAAAAATGACACCGAAAAAAGGTGTTCAGACTAAATTTACAGAATTATCAAGTCATACTGTTCAAAGAGGAAGATGATACTAAGGCCAATCACTGAAATTACTGTGGATTTGAAGCTATACTGTCTGCAGTAGACATCTGTCTTCTCAGAATTCATTCCTCCTCTGGCAGCTGCCTCCAACTTTCACAAGTTTGAAAATAGCCCCTCTTCCATGTGGTCTTGGTAGCAAACTACTCTTGACTCACAGGACACAGCTCATGACAAATCAATAAACTATACATCCCTGGCCAGTTGACTGGTTTAGGAGTGGGCATGACCCTATGCCAGCCCAATCAGATGGAACTGCAGGACTTTTGCAAGAGCTGCCAGGAGAGAGGTATCTCCGCTGGACTTGGAATCGTAAGTACATGGAGGCCGGATATAATTACCTCCAACAGAAGGGGAAAGCCTATCTGAGTGTGCAGACGATCCAGTGGCAGTGACAACAAGAAATGAAGACAGCAAGAGAATGGATTATATCGTTTGAGCACCAGTATTAAACTATGCCTTAAATCATCCCTACCTCTAGGAGTTTTAATTTCACAAACCAATAAATTTATTCTCAGCTCAAGTTAGTTTGGATTCAGCTCCTTCTTGCAACTGAAAAATCCTAACAACTAAGTTTCTTTTTAACAGTCTCATTGCAATCTCATCAGAGAGGTAAGATCACTGTCAATTTTTTTCTTTTTTTTACTGTGCTTTGGGTGAAGGTTTACAGAGCAAATTAGTTTCCCATTCAATAGTTTATATACAAATTGTTCCATGACATAGGTTGCACTCCACGCAACATGTTAGCACTCTCCCCATTACCACCCTGAGCTGCCCATTTCCCTTCGTCCAGTTTTTGTGCCCCTTTCTGCCTTCTCATCTTTTCCCTAGGCAGATGTTGCCCTTTTGGTCTCATTCAGATGATTGTTCCAAGGGGCACTTTCCTCACAGGTGTTGATTATTTTATAGGCCTGTCTATTATTTGGCTGAAAGGTGATCTCCGGGAATGCCTTCAGTTCCGAGTTAGAAAGGTGTCTAAGGGCTGCAGTCTCGGGGGTTCCTCTAGTCTCTCTCAGACCAGCAAATCTGGTCTTTTTTATGAATTTGAATTTTGTTCTATTTTTTTTTCCCACTCTAACTGGGACCTTCTATTGTGATCCTGGTCAGAGCGGTCGGTAGTGGTAGCTGAGCACCATCATTGTTCTTCTGGTCTCAGGCTAGCGGAGGCTGTGGTTCCTGTGGTCCGTTAGTCCTCTGGCCTACTTGTTTCCTTGAATTTTTGGTTTTCTTCACTCTCCTTTGCTCCAGACAGGAAGAGACAAATAGTTGTATCTTAGATGGCCGTTTGCAAGCTTTTAAGACCCCAGATGTTACTTGACAAAGTACGGTGTAGAATGCTGTCTTTACGAACTATGTTATGCCAATTGACCTAGATGTCCCCCAAAACTATGGTCCTTAACCTTCAAGCCCAGTAACTCAGTCCCACGAGATGTCTGGTTATGTCTAGGATGTTTCCATGGCTGTGCACCCTGTGTCCTCTATTACATGTAAGTATACATGCAGTATATACAAATACCTATGTAGAAATATCCACAGCCAAACCTATATATGCACATGGGTGTACTCCCATACACCCTCCCACACTTATTCAGCATACATATCTACCTATGAATCCACTCATAAATTATTGTTATTACTGTTGCTGCAGGATTGTATATGTTACAGTATTTACTGTCATTGTCTTTTATTCTAGCATACCTCTCAGTGTCTTCCCTTGCCTTGGTCATGTTGTGCTGACTTCCCTATATTGTGTACTGCCTTTCCCTTCACCAAAATTAACACGTGTCTACTCTCCAATTAGTGATTCTCCCTCCCTCCCCCTCCTATCCCTGGTAACCATCAAAAAATGTTTCTTTCTGTGCGTAAACCTATTCTTGACTATAATAGTGGTCTCAGCTGCTAACCAAAAAGTTGGCAGTTCAAATCCACCAGCCGCTCCTTGGAAACCCTATGGGTCAGTTCTACTCTGTCCTATAGGGTCGCTATGAGTTGAAATTGACTCGACAGCAAAGGTTTTTTTTTGTTTTGTTTCGTTTTCCATAAAATGTATCAAATAATAATGTTTTCCTTTTGTGACTGACTTATTTCACTCAGCATAATATCCTCCAGATTCATCCATGATGTGAGATGTTTCACGGATTCATCATTATTCTTCCTTGTTGCATAGCACTGCCAAGTTCTTGCCACGTAATAAGTCATTTAATCCCCTTATGTCTCAATACCATCAGTAAAATATCAGCCATTATCTGCTTTAAAGTGTTATGAATGTAAAAAAGATTTGTGTAAATACAAAATAATATTTAAATCAATGTCCTATAGATGAAAAAATGGCCTCACTTTTTAAAAAGTAATTTTAAGATGTCATTTTAAAAATAAGTATTATCATAAAGCTCCTAGGGAACAAGGGAATTAAGGAAATATCAACAGTACCTGCTGTACTCAGATGTCAAATCTAATTGTATTCAAGTCTGTTCTACATACTGTATTTTTCTCGTGAATAATGCACCAAACATATAATGCTGCACAAATGATGAAATTAAGTAAAACAGTTCTGGGATAATGCGCGCTATTTGTGGAAAAAAATTAAAAAAAAACAGTACTACTTAGGTATCATATTTTTACACAAATAATACGCATGCTGTATGTTTTTTTGCCAATCAAGCCCTCTCCCTTTGCGGTATTTTCATAAGTATGCTATGCTAATTTTTTTGTACAGCAACATGTAAATGTAAGCATAGCACACTTACAAAAATACCTCATGGGGAGAGGGCACGGTTGGCAAAAATAGGTACAATATGCGCATTATTTGTGTAAAAATAGAGTATAACAAAAATATTCAACTTGGAATCAAGTAGTTCTGGGATCAGGTATTGGGTCTACCACTGACAAGTCTGTCTGACTTTGGGTAAAATAACCTCTCCAGGTGCTTTAACTTTTCCTTAACTGTGAAATAGGAGTAATACCTACATTAATTCACAAAGTTCTTGTAAGAATCAAATGAAATAAGAACTGCAAGTTCTTGGCATGGTGTCTGCATTTAACGTTTCTTTCATAAAATGGGAGCCCTGGTAGCACAGTAGTTAACAGCTCAGCTGCTAACCAAAAGGCTGGCAGTTCAAATCCACCAGGCGCTCCCTGGAAACCTCATGGGCAGTTCTACTCCATCCTATAGGGTCTCTATGAGTTGGAATCAACTCGACAGCAAAGGGTTTGGTTTTTTTTCCATAAAATGTATCAACTAAATAATGTTTTCCTAATATGTAAGTCAAATATTTAGAATTGAGAAAAACTATTTCATTCATTCTAAGATGCACATTTTTTCACTATCTGAAATCATACAGTATCTTACAGTTGATGGCATGTCATTGCTTATTTGGCAGTGATTTTTCTTCCTTTAGTGATATATAAGAAAACAGTGCATCCTACAATTAAAGGTTGCCTTAGATTTGACAAAATAAGGTATGCTGATTTCCACTCAAATGGAACTATGGTACCGTGAAGTAAAGAATTTAACTCTACTTAAAGAATTTGATATTTGTCCTTGGTTCCTGAGGATAACCTCTAAAGCCTTAGAATTTCCCCAGTGATTAAAGTATTTTTCATAAGGCCTTCAGAACAAACCTGAGATACCTCTTGAGTGGGAGCTGGCCAGGCCAGAAAGACCCACTGTATGATAGCAGCCTGACTTCAGGTGAGAGGTCTGGAGGTTGAGTTCATTCAACCATGTCTATGTAATAAGACTCCCAAAAAGGCTCTGGACACAGAAACTCTACAGGTTTCCTGGCTGGTGATAGACATTGATGCAGTACGAGGGTAGTGGGTCCCTTTATGGCACATGGAAGCTCTGTGTTGGGAACCCTCCCAGACCTTGCCCTATGTGGCTTTCCACTTGTATCCTTTAAGCTATAATAAAAGTGTAACAGTAAGTATAGCACTTTCTTGAGTTCTATAAGTTGTTTTGGCAAATTATCAAACCCAAGGGAGTAACGAGAGCCAGGAGATCAGAAGTGACGGGGCTCTAGGGACCCCTTGGCATACAGTCGGCATCTTGAGGGGGTAGTGGGAAGCCCTCAAATCTGTAGCTAGCAGGTCAGAAGTGACAGTGTCATGAGCACCCCCAAGCTTGCAGCTTAAGTCTTGGGCAAACTTAGCAGTCTGCAGGGATGTGTCCTTTAATTTGTGAGATCTGACCTAGCTCTGGGTAATTAGGGTCAGAGGAAGAACTACTGCATTTGCAGTTTGAAATAGGAATTGAAGTAGTTAGGAATAGATTTTAATTTGATTGATTTCCTTCAGTTGGTGTCAGAATTGAAATGGAAATGAATGTGAGAAGTGGAATAGATTGCATTAATTGATTCTTACAGGTAAAGCAGTATTTACCAAAATATACATTAGAGACAGAAAGGTTGTGTGTGTGAGAGACTACGTATAGACACACATATATACATACTTATGAAACTCGCTGAAATTTAACTTTACATACCTCTGTAGGTCAACTATTTCATTGTTAAGGGTATCTAGCTCCTTAATAGCAGAGAAATCTGCAACAGGACTTGATCCTATGATGTTCTAAAAACAAAAAGTTCACAATTACACATTATTACTGTAGAATTACATAATACATGTCAAAGCATTAAAAAATGTTAAAAAACACTACATAGATATAAGGTATTACATATTTTACTGTATTACTAACATTTTTAATTCATTTAAGAAAATCATACCATTGTATATATCCGTAATACATATATAGTTATATACATTTTCCCTTAAATTTTCTAAAAGCTGTTGTTCTGTAATATGTACCCTGCCCCCACCTAAGATCACAATGTTGTTGTCACTTGATCCTAGCCTGTCCAGAACCTTGCAGTAAAACAGAAATCAGGTTTATAAACCAGTTCATCCACTAGAGCATAAATTTCTTGGGGAATGGATGGTATTTACTTGTATTTGTATCATTTGACAACAAGCAAGTACACAATTTTTTGTTGAATCTCAGAATTATAAGGGTAGTTGATTTTATTCAAGTCAACAAATATTTATGTATACTAAATACTTTTAGTGCCTACTCTATTTAAAGTAAAACCAACTGCTCAGGAATGTTCCATGGTAAAGAGTAATATGACCATATAAGCAATGTCTTCCTATATGATGTCCTTTACATATGGCTTTCTTCCATAAATGAAGGTGCCAAAATTGATCCCTAAGTAGTATTTGTACTTAGAAAATCTCACTGGGTTTATTCTGGGTTCTGATATTTTACTAGCCGCATGATCGTCATCCGTAAAATAGGGAAATAATCTCTGCCCACTTTACAAGTAAGTGAAATAATGTATGCAAGCTCACTCTGTAAACTTCATGATATTTTATAAATATAAACTATTGTTATAATTAACCTCCTCAACAGAACAAGCTCTTGAGAGATGAATGGCCTCCCAGTGAGTTCCTTCCACTTTGGCATAATCTCCTTTGTGAACCACTGTTGAAATATAGCTTATGCAACTGGCTAACGTCAGGGCAGAAAGATAACTGCTCCTTCAAACACTTGACCTAACACCCAATGCTACAACTAGATTGACAAATAACAGAATAATCACCATTTGGAAATGTTAAAACTGATGCTTAAACATGTAAAACTTATACTGATGATCTTATTAGTAGAGCGTAAAACTTAGTACTAATACTTATGTGTTGTGAACTTAATGTATGTCACCAACCCACATAACAGAAGAAATCTAAAAGCTCACAACACACCATCTCCTCATATTTATACAATGGTTTACAATTTACTAAGCACTTTCAAATCCATTTATCAGTCTCAAAACTAAACTGAATAGTGGGTGGTAAGTAGGGCAGGTATTATTATTGACCCATTTTAGAGGTGAAGAAACAGATTAAATGACTTGGTCAAGCTAAACCCGGCTAACAGGTGGTTTGGTCATTACATTCAACTGCTATTCCACATAATGTTCCTTGCACTTGCATTTCAAGATCATTTAGATAAATGAAACTATTACCCTAAAAATCAACTTGATAAACACGTACATCAACAAAATCTGGCAAATAATTCCTTTCATATTTCTTTATGCCACACTGCATTATTAGTGCTGGGCTGTTTTGTTTTGCTTTCAATACTAAAACTCATGTATTAGGATTCAATTAATGCTATTCTCAATTTTATATTAATTGCAGATCTGTACCAAATTTACCTCTTTTAATGTTTTACTGTATTCCACTGATACACCTACCTTTATCAATGCTAAATTAGAAATTTTAAAGTAGACTTCTGAATGTGACAGATATTAACGCTATCTAATCTTGCCATGTGTTAGAACTGACTTGATGGCAACTGGTTTTTTAAATTTGCCCTATGAGCTAAGCCTGGCCAGTAAGGTGAACAAAATGAAAAATTAGCACTTGGTCTCACTTTCATCACCAGAAGTAACTTACATCACTTAAACGCTACTGAGAAATTTGCTATCAGAGGTGTAAGAGTACCAAGAAACTCATGACTTCCACACCACTTCTGTGACTCTAACTCAAAAAATGTGACTCACATTTGACAGTCTTCCACTATGAAAAATATCGTCAAATATGAAGACGGAGACAAATTAGCTTAACTTCAAACGAGTTAGGTTAGACTCCAGATGATTCTAGACATTTAAGATTAGTTCACTGTAGATGGTACAGCTTGTGTCACTCCTCAATTGCTGACACAAAAATTAAACTCCCACACCACAGCAATAAAATGGCATGCAACCAAGAAGCATGGAAAATGTTCACTAAGTATATGAAGGATAAATAAAGGGTATATAAGGAAAAATGTAGCATGTCCCCTTCTTTCAAAATATTTTCTGACACTCTGTTTCATGCATTACATGCAAAATTACACTTTGGTGACTTTAAGTGGTTGAGTGAGCCCAGGAAAGGCAAATTAACAATGCACACAAGGACCAAGTGACATGTGACAAAAGCATGCTGTTTAGGTATTTTCTCTGCATCAACTTTGCTGCATAAAAAACCTCTAATTTCAAAATGTATCTTGTAAACCAAAAACCATTAATGCTAAAAAAGGCATAAAGTAAAGCTCTAACCTTGAGAGAGAGTAGCGTTAAGAAACTGACAGTACAAGAAAGGCGAAAAGCAGAGTGCTGCAGAATGGAAAAAATAGTCCAAACTAGAAAAAACACAGAAAGGAAAGCGACATTCAAAAAAACATTAGTCAGGCTGCAAAAAGTGCAGTACTTAAAAAAAAAAATATATCAGATTATAAAGAGAAAAGAGATTATCTGAAAGACAAAATAAACGCAAATTTTAATACTTAAAGTTAAAAATTTTGGTTAATAGATAAGACAACAGTGATAAAATCCCATTTTATAAACAATATTGATATCTGACATAAATAGACAAAGGTGTCTATGTTCTAGTGAATGGACTTCAGACAAATCTACTAAATTAAAAACTTTGTATAGCAGATACAATTTAAAGTGTCCACTAACGTGAACAAACAAAATTTGCTTCAGAAATTTCTATTGTTCTATAAATTCGTGTTGATGCGGGACTTGGTGGGTTATAAAAGAAGGCATAGGAAAAAAAACAATCTACATAGGTGAAAGAAAGGGTGAAACAACACAGAATTCCATAAATGAGACACAGTTATAGCAGAAGGCATAAATACAAATTCTGTAACCTCTATCTTTCTGAGTAGTATGACTTTCAGCCTTCTCCACAACTGAGGGAACCCATGTCTTACATACTAAGGAATCTCAAAAAATTTACAGAATGCACCCCTAACCCCAAAAAAGAAAAAACTCACTAAGTATTCGTTATCTACAAATATAGTATATACTCAAATACTCATATTATTAAAAATAAGAACAAAAACTCCTACAAGTAATTCTCTATACCTGCTGGCTACAGATTCCCACTTAGTTTACCTAGAAAAAATTCAATGTTGACTTTTTTAGATTTATTAAAATGGGATTTTTTTTTTTTAATCTATGTGACAAAATTAACACAAAACCAAAATATTCTACTGATATTTTAAAGACAGCTCTCTTCATACCACACATTTGACAAATTTATACAACTCTGAAGAATCACCACACAACAATGGATTATTGTACAGGTCACTAGAGATTTAAAGACATGAGGCATTTACTTTTAAAGGCAAATAGCCACTGGAGTATGCAAATCCTTTCAAAGCTCTATTAAAGGCCAAGGTATTGTAAATACACTATACTATAAAGGGTTCTAAATGAAGACAGAAAAATCAGGGCACAGCATGGCTAAACCAATGTAGTTCGTAAAATTCCCACTGCTGGCCAGAAATCAAAAGTAGCTTAAAAACCTGCTTACAGCTGTTGCAATATGGAGTCCAGATGTATGCACAGGAATAGAGGGCCATCTGTAGCAAAAACCACATAGATTCATCCTCAACATAAGATTTTTCTTGGGAGCTTTTTTGATGTACAGTTGACAGCAAACAATCATCATCATTCTAGATTTTGTTTTCTAATTTTTATTGTTTTTAGTAAGAGTGAATCATCAAACGAAACACAGTAACTTCTTATAGCTTTCATTTAATTCTTACACCCTACTCATAAAAATTAATTTAAAAATCCAGGAGGGGAAAAATAAAGCCACGTTTTTCCAATTTTAAGATTGGAAAATATGGTTGCCATATGTGTAATGAATGGTGGGGCAAACAAGCTGCAGCCCAAGATGTCATACAAGGCATTTGAGTATACTTATAGGCACAAACTAAGGAGTATATCGATCTGCTTGTAGCCAGATATATTTTCTCCACTATTCCATTCAAATCAAGTCTGTCATCTGACATAGCACTCGTAGTTCCCTTCTGATAATGCATTCAAGTTTTTTTTTTTTTTTTAAGTTGTCTTACCTTTTGTAAACTGGCCCTGTCTGATGGTGGGATCATCTCAGGAGTAAGAATCTGAGGAGGATCAATGCCCTTTATTAACTTTTGATTGATTAAGTGAAAAGCCAAGGCAAATTGATCGTTTGAAAGCTTCCCACAGTCCTTTGTGTCACACAATGCCCTGTAAAAATACACAAAATGAATAGTATATAAATGCCACAAGTACTACTCTAAAAATTCAAGAGAAAAGCAATCTGACTTTGTCCGGCGTTTAAAAAAATGACTAGTTGAATTAAAAAACAAAGACACATAACTTGCAGCCTGCCCAAAACTTACTCAAATGTTAGAAAAAATAAATTAACTAAAATGGTGAATAAAAGAGAATGTTTACCCTGGTGATGAACAGGCACCTCCAATCTGGGTTTACTTTGTGCTTTCTTACCAATTTCCAGAACCACTACAGAGTAAGAGTTGTGGTGAGCCACAGAATCCCAACATTCCCTACTCCCAACATTTTCAACATTAAAAGATGTTAAAGATGAAACTCAAGTCTCAACAAATTTGGCTCACTGGTGGCACAGAATGATTCTAAGACAAGCAAAAATTTCCATGTCAGCTTGCTTCCTGCAACTCTTGGAGTAGGAGGATATAAGGATCACCAAGCCAAAGCAGAAACAACAGCTGAAAATGGGAGATCACACGTGAGAAGGCAGCAATCTGGAAAGCTTTACAAAATCACGTAAGAAAAACAGCAAATGTTTTATTCTATTTGCTTTCTCTCTCTTTCTCTTCCTTTCTTAAGCTCAGCTTTCTGAAGTCCTGGTCTGTTTGATTCATTGAGAGCCAGTGTGACTTAATGAAAACACTATGGACTATGGTATTAAATAAACCTTGAATTCCAGCTTTTCTATTTATTTCATCTTGTGACCCTGACAAAAATTTTTAACCTCTCTGAGTCTGTTTCCTCATCTATAAAGTGGAGATGATAACACCCATCTTGCAAGGTTACCATGAGGATTAAAGACAAGGTACATAAGAGCCTGGGCATAATGCCAAGCTTGTGACAGCTGCCACTTACGAGCGTAGTGCCTAGACTAGTAGAGATGCTCAAAAGTGGCAGCTATCACTAGTTATACTTATTTAATCTTTATCATTTATCAGTCTTGGGTTCTTGTTCCTTTTAAGGCAGAGCTACTGTCCTCTGTTGTTCTTTTCTAATTTTCTCTTTGCAAGTATGCAATTCCACTTCTGATGTCTGCTGCCCCTTGAAAACCACATGATAACCTCTGGTAGAGTTAGGTAGATTGATAGCAGGGACACTATAAAGCATTTTTATATACATTACACCATTTAATGTTCAATTTATTAAAGGTTTGTCGTGTTTAAGGACCAAATATGTTATTCCTATGTAAAGGTGTGAAAGTATACATAAACCCTACAGAATTATACAAGTATGCCTTGAAGGTATTGTTTTATATTTTGTTTAAATTTCAGATATTTGGATTCCCATTAGAAATTTAAGTATAATTAAATAATATAAAGAGATGCTGCATTTTAACATTCTAATAATAATTAACTGACACCGTCACACTTATAAAGCTTTGGATAACCCATTGTAAAACTTCTATCCAATAATCCATTGTCAAGCTTTTGTCCATTACCCAAAACAGATCCTCAGATTTATGTTTTTTCTATAAAGAAAAGAATTCAGAAACAAAAACTGTCCTATTTATAAATGACTAAAAAAGGAGGCATAAAACTAGAGTTGATACAAAACCATGCTGTTTTTTAAATAGCCTCTTACCAAATGTGGGCTAGTAAGGCAGAAGGTAAACCCGTCTTGAGGAAGATTTCACGGACCTCCAATCCAGACACAAATCCATCCATATCTTTATCAGTTTTCAGAAAGATTTCATCATATTTAGCTTTTTCTGCAGGAGATACAACCCACTACAGGGGGAAAAAAATACAATTTTTCTGCCAAAACGAAGCAAACTTTGAAGTGTCATTCTTTCAAAACATGACAATATTTGCTGCAAATTCTGAACAATTTTACTCCCCTATCTATAGCAACAGTATATCACTTCAGTCACACCCCAACCAAAACACTGTTGTGAAAAGGAAATAAAAGAAGAAAAATATAGGTCAGTTGGCACTATATTTATAGATGCTCATTTTACATTTTTAAGTAATGTGTAAATTTAAGCATAGTTAACTCTTGACTTACGAATGCCCACATTAATCTGGGTAACTGGGAGAGTCTGTATAAACAAAATATCAGATAATCCTTAATCTTCTTTTTTTATAGTTTCAGCTTCCAGAATTTTTAACTATAGCCAAGCTGGCCAATTTTTATATCCTGTCATTATTTTCTTATATTTAACTTATTAAGAAACAGGTTAGACAGAAAAAAAGGCCTTGGGCAAGCCAAAATTAAAATTTGACCCCAAAGAATCAAGAGTTAACTAGAGATTAACTGTGCCAGGGCAAGCATGCTGTGTTAGCATGGAGCATCTTTCATCTCCACCTTTAATTCCAGGTAGATCAAGGCAAAGCCAATGAAACAATCCATAAGACCTAAGGCTAAATGCAGGAGAAGGAATATCCATCTGCTTTGGGACATCACATTATATAGGTTCAACCAGAGGGAGCTTTAAATCTTTGATCCCTTTGATTGTTCCTTCTCTATCAAGTAATCAACTGTTAAATGCCATGCACTGTGTTAAAAAAAAAATCCTTCAACACTGATAAATCTATACCTGTCTTAACGGTGCTTTCGTAGGTAAAATGCCTACAGGTGGTAAGGAGTGGTAAGGTTCCTTGGCTGATGCTGAAGAGGGTATCGACCTCATTGAGCCTAATATACTGACCGTTTTTCTCTTAGAAGGTGGCACCAAGGCTGGAGGCAAGGACATTGGCACAGGTTCCTTCTCCAGTGCACAGTACACCAAAAACATGGCCTTCAAAACACATGAACCAGGGTCATATATACTAAAACCATTTAATGGCATTGACTTATTGAATTTATTATTGTTCAACAATAAAGCAGCTTTATCAAAAAAAAAATGAGAATTTAGAGGGTTAATATGTTGTGGGGTTGTTAACCAATGTCATAAAACAACATGTGTACTACTGTTTCATGAGAAACTATTTGTTCTGTAAGCCTTCACCTGAAGTACAATAAAATATTTAAAAAAATAAATAAATAAAGCACCTTTAACTTGTTCCTAGAAATCCTTTTTTAGGAGATTAAGCTGGGAGGGAAAAAGATGAAAAGAGGGACAGAGGGAAGCAAGGAAGAAGGAAAGGAAAGAAATCAAAGCTAAGTAACTTTTAGAAGATAATCATCAGTAGTAAAATTTAGAGACACCTTCTTCAACTAAAGGTCTCACAATGTCAAAAGCAAACAACAATCTGGGGGAAAAAATCTGCAAAGAAAGAGCTAAAATTGCTACTCTCCCTAATGTATAAAGAGCTGATAGAAATATACAAGAAAAACCAAAACCCAACAGAAAAATGGACAAAGAATATGAACAGATATTTTATAGAAAAAGAAATATAAATGGCCCATCCTTTAATACATGAAAATATGGTCAACTTCACTCAATAAGAAAATCACAACTTTAAACTATACTGAAATGCCATTTTCTACCTAACTGACAAAAATTCAAAAGTTTCGTAACACACTTTGTTAGCTAGCCTGTGGGGAAAGAGGCACTCTCATATATTTCTAGTGGAAGCTCAAACTAGTACTATGCCTGTGAAGGGTAAATTGGCAACGTCTACCAAATTGCAAATGTATTTCCTCTTTAACTCAACAATCCCACATCTGGGAATTTACCTTCTGATTTATCTACCTACATATGAAATACTGTATGAAAAAAGGTTATTAACTAGAGCATTGTTTGTATCAGCGCCTAAGTGCCCATTAACAGAAGGCCGGTTATAAAAATTAGGGTACATCCATATAATGAAATATTTTGAAATAAAAATTCGTAAGAAACATGCAGTGTGTTAACTGTCGTATACAACTCTCAAAACTCATCAAATTACACATTTAAATTGGAGGCAGTTCATTGCATGTAAAGTATTCCTCAATAAACTTGATGAGAAAAAAAGAAGCACAAACCTCTCTAGGTGAAAAAATATACAATATATACTGTTAAACACAAAAAAGGTATAATGGGGGAGAGTGTGTATAATGTGCTATCTTTTGTGGTAAGGGGGGAATAACTATATTTGTTTAGATTTGAATAAAGAAATTCTAGGAGGATACATGAAGCAAGAAAAATGATTGGTCATAGTACAGAAGCAAATGCAGCAGTTGTGGGCAGGGGTGGGTCTGAGTTTTTTTTTCACTGAATACCTTCTGGTATTGTACTGATTTTTCTAACCATGTACATGTATTATCTATTAAAATTTTTAAATTAATTAATATGTAAAGCACTTGCAAAAAGTGGGAAAACATGCCGACAGACTCTTCTAGGCTATATCCCCTACATTTTAAAGGGTTCAAGGCAGTTTCAAGACCTCTCAGAGGATGAAAAGTTTTCTGACTATCTTCAGGCATGGGAAATTATTCAAAGCAAGTTGGAACCTCCAGATATATTCCAGCAGCAACCAGGAGAAGCTTGCATATTTCTTCTTAATTTTTTCTTCCCTTGAGAGGCGGGGCCAAGATGGTGGAGTAGTCACATACTTCTGGTGGACCATCTTACAACAAAGACCCAAACAACAAGTGATTTGTTTATATATAGCAGTCTGGGAGCCCTGAACATCAAAGGCAGAGTTGAGGAACAGGACTGAGTGGCGGGGGGTGGGGGTGAGGGGTAGGGAGAAGGTTTGGAAGCAGCAAGGAGTTGCCAGATGTGACAGCCTGGCAGTGAGAGCCTGAGCCCTTCAGGCCTGATCAGCTCAGGGGTGAGTGGTGAGGCAGGCAAGCAGCCATGCTCAGAAGGCACGTTTTCCACACCGGGAGAGACCCAGCACCAGATAATCTACATGGCCACCCAGAACCAGTGAGAAGCAGCCCTCCACAAAAGATAACTACTTGAGTACAGCTTGCTCACAGTGCGGATCAAAAACATCCCCCTTTGGGGAAAACCTCTCTCCCATTTACCTCCCCACTCCCTGCTCTGCACTGGGTCCCAAACCGGCTTCAGCAATTGCCGAGTCCCCTGGGCCAGACGTAGGATCCATCACACGCCCTGAGCCATTCCCCCTGTCTTGGAGAGTGAACAAATTAACAAACAAGAAAAAATAAACTGCCGGTTCTCCTAAGCCAGGAACCCAGGGTAGGCACAACTCCTTTGCCTAGGCACAGGCATAAGGGATCCACAGACGTTGAGCGCCCTTCTCCCTGCAGAGACTTGTGTGGGCCCATTTCAACAGCATACGCCCTAAATACCGCAGTACAATAGGGTATATACAGGAACTCTAACTTCAACTGTTTTGGTTATGAAGTGGCAGGTTCTTGACACTGGACACTGCTCTGCCCATTAAGCAGGGTCTTCACCTACCCACATCAGAGGCCTGAGGACTGGTGGCTCCACTCACACCACATAGCCACCTGTGAGAGGGGCCCATGGAAAAGAGGTGCCCCCCAGTCCTTACAGCCAACAGCATTAGGTGCTCACAGTCCAGCTGCAAAACTCAACCACCTATGCACTCCAGGGAACAGGGACAAGCCTTCCTCCTGGACACTCAGGGGTGGCCATCAGCCCCCTGCCTTGCTCAGAGTGTGTCCTCCTGCTGCAGCCAGATGCCTGTGCCTACACCAAACACCCATACCTGTCTAGGACTGTAAGTGAGAGCCTATACCACACACTTGCTGGCTATCTACCTGGGCACCTGAGCTGAATCCATACAGGAGAAGTCGGCGAACTCCTGAGCTCATATACCTAGTAACAGATCTAACCACCTGGTGACAGGACATCAGAGCTTCAAAGGTGCCAATAATCAAACTAGCTCACAAGAGCAGCCTATTTGGGCTATCAAAACAAGAAGCTAGGACACAGTAAGCAAACATAAAATAAATAAATATAATAACTTATTGATGGCTCGGAGACAACAGTCAACATCAAATCTCATAAAGAGGCAATCCATGATGGCTTCAGCAAGCTCATAAAATAAAGAATCTAGAAATTTTCCAGAGGAGGAAAATTTCTTGGAATTACTGAAGGCAGAATACAAAAGACTAATACACAGAACTGTTCAAGAAATTAGGAAGGAAATTAAGCAAAATGCAGAACACGCAATAGAAGAAATTAAAAAGATGAGAAAAGAGCATAATGACAAATTTAACAGGCTGCAAGAATCCAGAGACAGCAATCAAAAATCCAGAAGATTAACAATAAAATTTGAGAATTAGACAATTCAACAGAAAGTCACAGGTGCAGAACTGAGGCAATGGAAGTCAGAATTAATGAGACTGAAGATAAAGCACTTGCCACCAACTTTTTGAGGAAAAATCAGATAAAAGGATTTAAAAAAATAAAGAAACCCTAAGAATTATGTGGGACTCTATCAAGAGGAATAACCTACAAGTGATTGGAGTACCAGAACAGGAGGGATAACACAAAATACAGAGAGAACTGTTGAAGATTTGTTGGCAGAAAACTTCCCTGATATCATGAAAGATGAGAAGATATCTATCCAAGATGCTCATCAAACCCCACATAAGGCAGACCCCAAAAGAAAGTCATCAAGATATATTATA